ATCAATGCAGAACGGGGTAGTTTGAGGAAGACCTGCACGGGGTAAATTGAGGATAGGCCAGCCCATGCTATAGCGTGTGGCCGATAGGGATACCCCGCTGGAAGGCCATATTTTAGTAGGATTGAGGAACGTTTAGTTTTTTGGCTCTAAAAACGAAACTATTTGAGGTACAGATGTGCAATTTTGACTCAGTGAAGGGAAGGAGGCAATGCCTTGACGCTGTAAAGCACGATACCATGCGATTCATTGACGAAGAGCAAAAGGCTATTCCTCAAACTACCCCACGGCGTTCCTCATACTGCCCCGCACATGGGGTAGTTTGAGAAATGCGGGGTAGTATGAGGAACTGGCTATATCTCCTCACAAAGACACCGCATTGCAACGCGCTTTAAAGGGTTGATACATGCCAATGCCACCTTCTTTGAGTCAAAACGTCAGGTCTGTGCGACAAATAGTTCAGTTTTTAGAGCCAAAAAACAAAACGTTCCTCAAACTGCCCCGCTCTCCCCTACTCGGACCGTGTACGACCCTTATCCGTTACCTGTATGTACACATATGGATCGTTTGTGGAACGTATACAGTAGGTACACGGGGCGGGTTTCACGGGAAAAAAGTGGAGCATTTTGCGCACCAACGCGCAAATGGCGCCACAGGAGGAATGCATACCAATATCTACACAATACTTTATTTGTACTTCTTTTCTGCACCCTCTTTGCTGGGGGACACTGCGAAAAGAATGCCGTTCGAACGGAAACAATCGGTTCTACTGTTATCGAACAACTGGACGGTTCAGTCCAATTTTCTTTCTTACACCTTCACACATTGGACTGAACCGTCCAGCTTATTGTGCGGAAGCATATCGTAGTCGTGCAAGACAGCCGCTGCCTCGACCGAGGCCTCGCGGCACAGCGGGCAGCCCGCCGTCTCCGACACGGGGTGCCGGAAGAACATGGTGCTGTACCCATACATTACGTGTAGCGGGGCGGGGGCACGTCGCACCAGACCCTGCAGCTCTGTGATCAGCCGAGGGACTCGCGCGCATGCTGTTCCTGAGGGCAAATGTACAAGAGCTTTGAGACAGTGTTGCCAACTCAACGAAACTCGAAACTCTTCACCGAGTATTTGACACAATAAGCCTAGCTGCTGCCTTACCGTGGCCGTCGTAGTTCTCACACTCACAGGGAGATCTGTTGCAGGGTTTCTCGTATAACGACGGACGGACGACGAGCACCTCGAGGGTCGGGATGGCGGCGGGTGTGATCTGTAGGAACACTTCCGGTAAAGGCCGGGGGTGCGGGCAGAACAGAATGAGCGACCGCAGGCAGGGAAGGCCCGCCAGCGCCTGACGCAGTGAACCGTAGTAGCAGCGCCCCAGGACGAGACACTGTAAGCTTGTCAGCCCGCCCGCCCCCAGGGCACGCGTGAAGACATCAAAGCCAAGCAGCTCGAGGCGTTCAAGGGGGCCCGGGGCCCGGAAGAAGTGTTCCAGCTGGTAACAGTAGGGCGGTTAGATCAACAGGACACGGTGGCAAGAGACACAAGGCGAGGGTCCGTGTGAATGCGAGGTCGCGGGGTAGATCCGCTTTGTATTCTGACATTAAATAAAACAAGTTTTTAGCCATTATTGTCCTCTATCGGCTTTTCCCCTCCTGGCCCCACACGAACTTTGTGGGTACTTTGTTTACCTCAATACAGGTCTGTTCATGACGTGCATCTTCTCCCGACCAAATGTCGAGCTTAAGCTCCTTCAAACCGTGGGTCCGTCGAAGTGCTGCAGCATCTCTCGGTGCCATATACTGTTCGAACTCCAGCCTGCGGAGGTCGCTGGGCAATGCATCCGCCAGATGATCGAGAAGATCTACATATGACATTATCCTCACACAGCCCAGCTGTTCACTGCAAAGGAGTCAGGGGCTCAAACACCGGCTGGCTAATGGAGGCGGTAGCGGTAGCCCAGCGAGGAAATGCCAATTTGAAACTACATCAAAACGATATCGCTGGGTCGTTCGCTATCGTTTCGATATCGTTTCCAACTCCAACGGCATTCCTCACCGAGTGGTGGACAGTTCTGATTAAAGATTAAAGGTGATACCTGTGTACTCGCAGTAGCGAGCGGAGGCTTTCGAGGCATCCCTCAGAATAGGGCATGTCGGATATTCGGCCGTAGCGTGGTTGGAGAGTCACGGTGCGCAGCCTCGGCAGCGCCAAATCCTGCGGACATGGACGTGACGGTACGGTACCTTTTCCGACCTGGCCGGCATATGGAAGCGAGCGTTCTCACCTGCGGCCACAACAGAGTCAGCTGTTCGTGCAGGTTTACCCTACTCAAGGTAAGGTGCTCCAGCTGGCTCCAGCTCGC